ATAGATAGATAGATAGATAGATAGATAGATAGATAGATAGATAGATATTCAGAGGGAAGCAGATGGTGTGCGGCTCCTGCTGTAGTGGCATATGTTGTCTCTTGGACAGTTTGGATCGTAAGTATCTGACCAGCAGGTGCTGCTTGTTATTTGTTGGCCTACCACTTCTCATTTCTGGACTGTTGCATTTGTGCAGAACTGCAATTCCATTAGTATTATTACAGTTTAAAAAAAAATAAAGATCACGGCAGATGCATTTGTGTTTTTAAATGGCTATCATGGCTGTCATATTTCAAATCAAGGAACTTTGACATATACATGTAACAAATGCAACTCTTCTTGTGATCCAGCAGAAATGTCAAATGTAAAACCGTATTTACCGCAATGATTTTTTGAAAAATTACATATATGTATTCAAAGTCAAATGTCTCAAGAGCTTGTTAACTCTCTGTCTGCAAGCATGCGCAGAATCAGGTGTGATGTCATGCAACTGGAGAACAGAGAGAACATGGTGACCTGGTGCTGATCCGGTAGAATTTCACATTGTTTACTCCTTGAATGTCCTCTTGGTAATAAACTGCATTAATGCTTTGGTTGACTGTCTGGATTGTCAGTTCTCTTGAGAAGAGATAAAGACTTATTATATAGATCTCTCTGATTACCTGAGCAGAAAAAGGTCCCTCCCTTTTTCCTCTATAACTTAGAGGCTATTTCAAGCAGAAGCTTTAGGCCGTAAGCTGCTCCTGATCCCAGCCTCACAGGCGAACATCTTTCTTTCAGACTTTTTAACTGCCTGCAAACACCTCTTATTTTATTATGTTCCACAACGGCATTCAAACCAACTATAATCTTATGCAAAATTGCTATTTGCAGATGTAATTTTTTTATGAGATTTGGTCTATTTGTGTTTGCACAGTAAAACTGACTCTTTTCAAGTCTACCTGATGCTATTTATCTCTGTAAAGAAAGTTGAATGTGAACCTAGACCATATGTGCTGCCAAAGTTTAAAGTGCAGTCTGCATGTCAGTATTTTAAGCATTGCCTGAGATGAACCTCAGGCTGCACAGAATGAGGTTTAAGTAAGCTTGGTTGGTTATGTAACCAGTTTAGCCTGTTCAGGGCAGTGTATTAGCCTTAATAAAGCAACTGCAACCCAGATCCATTTTAAGGGTAAACTCTTTTTCATAAACCAAGGTCATCGTGGGTCATGACTATGAACCTAAATACAAAAAAGGAAGCATTTTCCTAAAAATCTCATTTTGAATGAAAAATGCAAAAAACTGGTATGTCCAACTAAAGCACAGTTGGGAAAGAAAATATAGAAATGTATCCGTCAAAGGGTTAGTCTGGGATAGGATAGGATTGCAAAGATCAAAGAAGCATCACAAGGAGAATCTATCTATCTATCTATCTATCTATCTATCTATCTATCTATCTATC